AGCTAGTAAATAATTCTAAAGGCTAAGATAAAGAAGTAATACCCTATAGATATTAATAAATTAGTATATAATACTATTTAAGAAATCGGAAAATTCTTTAGAAGTTCCTATAAAACTAGAATTATAAAGCTTAAGGCCCGGGGATTTAATAATAAAATAGCTCAAGTATCCGGCCTTAATATATAAGTCTCTAAAATAGAGAATTAACTTGAGGATATATATATTAAGTTCGAGAAGGCCCAAAAGTTAATTAAGTAGCTTAGAAGTAGTATAATTAAGCCAAATATTACTATTCTAATTAAGAAGAAAGGCAAATAAGCTATTATATTAAAGCCTGCCTTAATAAATAGACTTAATTTATTATTCTTATTTAAAAACCGCCTAATAATAATAGTTCTAATATTAGTTATAGCTTATATAGTACTTCCAGACTATATTATTAATATAGGTATAAGTATAATACAAATAACGGATACTAAGAACTAGCCGGAATATACTAGAAACTAGGTTATTTTAGTAAAGTTAAAACTATACTTTAATTATAAGTAAGCTATAGGAATTAGATAAAATAGAATTAGTAGCCATTATTTTCTCTTTTTTCTTTTCTATATTACGGCTAAATAATTCCCTAAATAAGGGCATTTAGATTTCTTTTTAAGGGAAGAAGTAATATAATAGCTAGTATAAGGATATAATTTACTAAGGACAGGATATTAGAAACAGGTATGAAATAAAGCTAAGCCGGAATTACTTGAGTAAAATAATACTAAAGATTAAGGTATTCTTTTTATTTTATTCTATAGCTTAGTATTTTCTAATATATAAGATTCTTTAAACTTTAAGCCTTTAAATATTATATTAATCCTGCTATTATAATACTTTCTAGTACCCGAATAGAAAAGTACTAATCTTTTACTTAATTAGGAAATATAATCTAGTATTCTAATACTCTATATAAACCTTAACTAAACTAGGAAACCATATACGGGATATTAGATATCTGCTTGCTTTATTATATATACTTCTTATAACTTTTATCTCTTATATTTTTCTTTAACTTAATTATATTCTTAGCCTTTATTAGAGTTTAAGTCTTTTAATAATAGTATTTATAATATAATATTAATAGGAAATTCTTCTTAAATAACTTTATATATACTAGTTTATAATTCAAATAAATATACTAGTTAATAGTAATTATATAAGTCTTATATTTAGGCTTTAAGAAGTCTTTAAAAAAGGCTTTAGTATTTAATAATAATAATAAGATCTCGATTATAAGTTAGTTTAAGAAACTAATTTCGAAGCTAGTATTTCTAAGAATATATTTCTTTATTTTAGGAATAGTTTTAAGCTTAATTTAGGCTATTTCTAGAATACTAGAGCTAATAAGCCTGGCCTTATTAATCTGTGTTTTTGGTAAATACTATTAGTATATTATTATTATAATATATAATTATAGTATTTAATTAGGAATTAATTACCTATAATACTTTATAAGTATATATATCTAATATTCCTGCTTTAAAACTAGCTCATTTATCTAATCTTATAGTATATATTCCTATTCTTTTAAGACTATTACTTCTATCTCAGTCTATATAGTAGGCTAGTACCGGTATTTATATAATACCTACTTTATTCTCTACTAATACTTCTTAATAGGGTTTATATTAGAGCTTATAAAAGAATAAGGTATTAATATAATTCCGTATTATATATACTAGTAAGTATAGTAATTATAAATAGACTTATAGCCATAAGCTAAGTTCCTATCTTTTATAAATAAAGGCTTAATAAAAGGGCGAAGTAGGTGAGAAATAGCTGTAAAAGCTTCTATAATACCCTTAATATACGGCGCGAGTACTTGAGAGAAGTAATTCTTTTAAATAAAGGCCTCTTTCTTACTAGAACCGTGAACGAATATTAAAGAACTCTTATAGCCATATCTAATTACTCCCTATATGTTAACTAGTATTATGTGCTCGTGATAAAACTAGTACTATATATACGTTAGGTGTGTCCTCTCTCCCCCTTTCCTTATAACCCTCTGCTTTACTATCCTACTACTTATATGAAAGGTAGCCTCGTTAGACTAGAGGACCTTTAGCTACTCCGTTGTCCAGAATATATGTGTAATTACCCAGAGGAATCGCGCGAGGACCTGGGTAGCTATAAGGTAGGGCTTCTGGTAAGCCACGCACCGGAAATAGCCTCGTTGTTTGAGCCGGCGCTCGAGTGTCTCGATAGAGTAATTAAGCTATAATTCGTTACGAAGGAGGGTATAGTCAAGGATTTGATACTCCTATAATTTGGATAGATATTTAATAATCTCGTTGACTTGCGTATTGGTAAGAAGAGAGGGTCTCCCGGTACGAGTAATGCGCGAGCGCTCAGGCACGTCGTATTGTAAAACCCTATTAATTATGCTCCTCCCAAGCTTGTATCGCGTTATAAGAAGCTCAACTAGTATCTTAGTAAAGCCGTATAGCTAGCGTATCGCCTCTTTATATTTAGTAGGGATTTCATCGCGTGGTTAGTGGGTAAAGTCAAGAGGGGGGGTTGTGGGAGGCATTGGAGTGAATGAAGCTTGGTGGGGAAAATCACTCGCTAAAAACACAGACTTATGAGGCCGGGCTCGTAACGAGCCTAGTGACATAAGTCTGTGTCGCACAGGGCAATTTGCTTACTAACGAGCCCTATAAGGAAATTTCAAACTTCTAAGCTTCGTGATAACTTCTCTAATTATTATTAGACAATACACTTTAGCTTCTTCTTAATTAAAATCTCGAAGCATAAGTAATAATACAGGCTGGTTATTTAGGGGATTTTAAGTAAAGTGGGTGACTTTGGTGTTCCGAAGCCTAAAAAGTGCCCTGTGCGACACAGACCTATGTCACTAGGCTCGTAACGAGCCTTCCGGCGATAGTCTGTGCGCCCAGGCATTCCAGCCTTAAAATCATTAATTCTAGGTATAATTGCAGTATTTAATTAGGAGTTAACCACCCACGGCGCTCCATTAGTATATGAACCCAATGCTCCTGTTTTAAAACTAGCTCATTTATCTATTCCTGGGGTATACGGTCCTATTCTTCCAAAATCATAGCCTGTATTTCTGCCATATTTATAGGCTGCTTTCGGCGGCGGTAAAGTGATTATTTTATCCTCCTCTAGTACTTCTCAATAGGGTTCATATTAGGACTTGTAGAAGGATAAGGCATAAGGATAATTCCATAAGCTATACGCTATCTTTAATAATAGTTATATATAGACTTGTGACCGTGAGCTGCGTTACCGTCCTCCATAAATAGGGGCTCTACTACCGGGCGCAATTAGTGAGTAATAAGTGCAAAAGCTTCGAGAATTGGCTATAGATACTCGAGGATTTGTGTAAGGTAATCGGTTTGTTTAAAGGCGCCTGACTTGCTAGTTCCTTTAATAAATAGCAAAGGACTCTTATATCCATATCCAATAGCTCCCCAGATATTAACTGGTATTATGCCCCCTTAGTAAAACTAATACTAGATATAAATCTCGCAAAATCGCTCTTTGTAATTCCTTGTAACTTTGGCCTTTATAGTCCTCTTTCCTACCTGAAATATATACTCATTAGACCATAGTATCTTTAGCTATTCTACTATCCAAAATATGTGTGCTATTACCCAAAGGAACCGTCCAAGAACTTGTGCGGCGGTGAGGTAGGGCTTTTGACAAGCTATGCATTAATAATATCCGCGTTAGTGGAGCCGTTTTTAGAGCGTAGAAGAGCTGCACTTGAGTTTTAAGTCAATAATAAGCTAATCATAGTTAAGGATTCGATTTTCCTAGCTCTCAGAGAGGTATTCGATAATCTAATCGAGCTCACGGTCTAATAGAAGTTGAGGCTTGCCCTTCCGATTTGGCCGCGCACGCTCTGGAGCAGGGTAGCCAAGAATTTTGTTAATTGTGGTATCTCCAAGCTTGTAGCGCTCTTGGAGTTGAATTTTGGGGACCTTCCCATACTAGTGTAATTGTCGAATAGCTTCCTTGTGTTTTGTAGGGATCTCAAAGCCTTTCTGGTGGTCAAAATCGAGGGGCGGGGGGGTTATTGCGCTCATTTTGGTGATGGTGTTTTATTTTAGTGCGCTCGGCTAAGAAAAATTCACTAAAAAGTGCCCTGAGCGCACAGACTATCGCCGGAAGGCTCGTAAGGCCTTCGCTGTGGGTTTCCTATGACGCTTTTTAGCCTCTAATTGCGGGGGCTTCTCGTTTTTTCGGCTCTTCAACTGTGCCATGGCGTAAGCTTGCGAATGGAGTCAATACTGCCTAATGAGGACGGTTCTGGTGGTGCTAGTGCGATTGTTAAGTAAGTTTTATCGATTCACATCAATTTTTAGTAGGGTACGCACCAAAAGTGCATGTTTCCGCTAAAATCGCTAGAAACATGGAGGTTTTGAATATGACTGTAAGTGGAAGGTACGAACGGGTACCCTGTATTTCGCGTTTTGGGCCGTACCACTTCATCGCCCTTCTGGAGAATGATAAGATGACTCGTTCCGCATAAGACAACCCGGAGATTAGGACCGAAATATGGCCGATCTTTGACCCATCGGGAAGCCGAGCTTCTGTGGTACGAACCGTCCAGTGGTGAACCACTCGGTATCGAAGTGAACAGACCTCCCAATCTTCAGAGCGAGGTGCTTTTGCTCGCGGGTTCATCCCGGTATTTGAGCCTTAACTTTTTAAGCGTCACTGAATTTCGCGATTATTATCGCTAATAGGAAAGATGAATAGTGTTTGACCCTCACCAGAATTGCAGCTCTTGACTCATCGTGGAGTTGCTGAGTTAACAAAAGTATAACTACGAGACTTTGCTACCTTCACTGATCCGACAAGTGGCAGTTTCTTGTGCGGGTTCGCAAGCTCTCGACTTTCACGTCTTCGATCATGGCACATCAATCACCATATACTACTTCTTTATAGCGACAAACATACTACGAATCCGTGGACCAAAAGCTCCAATGCATCCCCTCCTTTTTCTCGCGTGCTTGATCTCGAGTGGCTTGGCATCTGCAACTGTTTCCGCCATGATCACATCAACATCTAGCTTCCCACCTCGATCTACCCAGTCTCACTCTACCACAGCAGCAGTTCAACTCACTCAGGTCGTTCGCTGGGGCCAAGCGGATGCTTGTGCCCAAAGCTGCGTAAATGGAGCAATCAGTTCATTTTCCAGTTATCTCTCTTGTCAAGGCGACAATCCAGCAGCTTGTTTATGCTCCAGCGTTGACAACATCGCTGCATCTGCTCGTAGCTGCGGCCTAGTCTCTTGTCCATTATCGACTACGACCGCCGACAAGCAGCCGGACTACATAGAGGCCAAAATGATCGCTTACGACTATTGTTCTAGCAATGGACAATATAGAACAGGATTAGCGGCAGTTGTCCTGACCACACCAATGACAGTCAGTTCCGGTATATGTCCTTATGCCTCTGCTATTACAGGCAGCAGCTAACATAAATCAGGCCAAACTTCGCAATCTACTCTCCAGGCAACGACCTCACTTCTCACATCCTCGAATCTTACGTATACGAACCCTACATCCCCGAATACCACATCTGCGGAGCCTTCTCATAACTCAGGCACCTCTGGGACGACAGTGAGCAACTGGAATAAGTTTGGTTGGCAACTCACTCTGGCGATTTGTGTTGCTACAATCATAGTTGCGATATCGTGGTGGTTCTGTGTTTGGAAGCGCCGCAAACCGCCTGGGGACACTGAAAAGGGGATACCAAGGTCCAGATCCTTGATTCAACGATTTAAGGTAGACATCTGTGTATTCAGGTCAAGTCGTGCAGTCTAACGCGGTTCAGTTCAATTCGTGGTACTGCCGAGGTTACGATATTTGGCAAGACGGACAACAGCCCACACATGGATTCAAAATACTGTTCGATACTGGTTGCCACGGTTCTAATTGGATATCGCCAAACATATTCGAGAAGCTAGAAGCTAAAGCTGCAGATCATGGACAAGAGTACTGCTTTCAGGATTTCAATGGAAATAGTTTCTCCGCTAAAAGGACAACCCGGCTCAACTTCCAGAGGGCCGGAGTTCCCGAAGCTAAGGTATACAGTGCCGACTTCTTCATCGCCGATCGCGACACCCACTTTGAAATAATGCTTGGAGCAGACGATCTTCGAAATTTCAACCTTCTGGCGCAACCAGTATATCCGCTGATCCCAGCGGAACCTTCTAGTACGTCTAGAACCACCATAGTGTCCTCTAAACACCACATAGCTAATATATTTCGCAGAGAAACTCGCACCACAGAATCCCAAAAAAGCGGAGAAAAACAAGGAGGCCGAGAAGCATGAGCGTGGCAGGAAGAAGAGGGAAGAGAAGCAGAAGCGGAAGCGGAAACAGGAACAAGAGACGAAGGATAAAAACGATAACGGTAATCAAAATGGGGAACCTTCCACGGGTAGATAAAATATAGAATGGGTATACTATACAGCAATAACGGGCGCATGGGATATGAGGAGTTTGGCTGGACCAGTTCCAATATTGCTGATATTAACGGAAAGGATTTTACTGAATCCCTGTGGGTGGGATAGAGTTAATTGTACTGCTAATAAAAACAACCTGTACAGCAGCAAATCTGTGCAAGATTTTCATTAGCATGCCCACGAATGTTTTGTAATACGACTCGAAAAGTAAGGAGGTACGAGGGAGCACTCACGCCGCAGTCCCGGCGAAGACCTCCGCCTTCCTCGCGTTCGTCACCAATGTCAAAGTGAGCGAAAACAGCATTGTGAACGCCGCCACAATCCCTAGCCTTGCCAACATACTATTGACAAAATACAATACCAGTATCGAAACGACGAGGAGCATTGACGAGATGATCGAACTTAGACAATCGGCTACTCTCAGCACGTTCTTGTCTCTGTATTCAAAATAGTTCGCTTCTTCATCTGCCGGCTTCTTTACTCGGTGGCCGAGGCAATGGTGCCACCAAATGAAGACCCTCTTCAGAAAGAAGGCAGCAAGCGGATCGTCGGATCTTCGTGGTTTGAGAGTGATAAGATCAGAGCGTGAGGAGGTCTCCCATAACTCCCTATCTTGTCCAATCAGGGGGTCGTCACCCATCTTCTCATCTATAAACCACCGACGCACGAACGCGAGGTCGCTTGAATTTGGCGACGCGCCGGTTCGCAGTTGCTTCTGGAGAAGTAGTGTCTCGTCTGAGAGGAGGTTAGAAGATGAACTGCATCTGGCCTCGCTAGGGACAGAAAGGGACCCTACTGTATTCCTTTAGTTTTGCTCGGGTTTCGAGCATTGTTCTCCATGCCTCAGCTTCCTCGGTGTCCTCTTCGGCGTTGGCAAGGTCCCACCAATCTCTTGCAGGATCTGGAAGACCTATGCTGCTCATTGAACTCGTTCCGCTCCTCGCCTCAGCTTCCAAGCGAGACCCGGGTCTTTCTATGCCTTTGGCTATGCCTTCGACTGCTGGGCCCCCACTCCCTACTGCATCTGCTATGTCTTTTTCCTGGATTTGTCCTTCCTCCGACATTCTTGCTTCTCGCGCTATGATTGTAGTTGCAACAGCATGTTCTGTTCCGGAATTTGCATTGTTACAAGCTTCAGCGTGCTGCACACTGTGCAGCTCAATCCCTAATGCAATGCCGCTCTGGTTGTTGGATGCCACCGTGCTCGTTGCGGGTCTAAATCCGCTACTTAGGTAACCCTTCATCTTTCGTTGAAGATGCACAAGCTCCGCCTGAAGGTACAACGCATTCAGGGTATTCAAAAAATCAAACCGTTGGAACATCGCCATTTCTGCATGATGAGTCATTAGGTGTGCGACTTTTTCGTAGCCTGTCATTTGACTTGTTCCTGGCTTGGTCTTCATGGTGCTCGAAGCATGGGCGTAAGACGAGGTGATTTACAAAGTTCGAAAGGGAGTGTATGCTTCAAGACAGCCTGTCTTGTCTAGCCTAGCATATATTTTGAGGCTTTTGATTGCGATTTGGGAAGTGTGCTATTTTGTTGGTAGCCAGCCTCATCAACAGCCCTTGAATACATGTGAATGCAGATAAGCGGACATGGGAACCCTGCATGAGAATGCTTCCTCTGTCCCATATGGAAGCATTATTTCCTCACCGCTTCAAGTCGGTCAGTAGTCTGACCTATGTGAGGTTGAGAGGCCTTCGTCTCTTCATGGACTGTTTTCATGCCCAAATGCACTCTTCCGCCTTAGTTTAGGCTCCCATGTTGGGGAGATAATTAATGCCTTAGACGTGCATGTAGTTGCATGACAGTTCTCGGGGTATTTCAACCCTCTGCAGGATCCAGGATGGAGACGAAGTATTTACACTGTGCTCAAAATTCCAATGTCGAGGCAAGGCTGCGAAATTCTGGCGTCTCGATACTTGGAACAAGATCCTCGTCTTTGCATAGTGATCTCCAGAACCGTTGGTTCGAGAGTATAGAGGTCCAAGGCCTCAGTAGAGGCTGCCCTCAAGGCGGCATGCGACATGCTCCCGATTCGCTATGCGCTGCCGATCGGATACGCTTGGCTCAACAGGTGGTAGCGTGGCCGACAATTACCGACGGACCGACGATATCATCCCCGCCTTCGAATTTCTCTGGAGAAAACCTTTTCCACCCCTCTATCCCCGCACTCGGAAATAGAATACGAAAGCCATCTGAGATCACGCTCAATCTATGCGGGCTATCCCCCAGATCTGATACTCGGCTCCACTATTCGGTGCCGACGAAGCTAAACGGCGAAATCTCTTAAAGGAGCTCAATAACCACTTTATTACCTTAAACAATTACATACTATTTCTCGCTTATTTTTTAATTAATGCTAGTTCTTATACTTATCCTCTAATATAACGACTTTCGGCCGTATAATAGAGGACAGGTCCACGCCTCTATAAGTAGTATATTAATTCCCAAGTCTTTAGAACTAACCCGTATTCTAATTTATTTAGTATAACTAGAGAATCTATCTAGCCTCATTAGCTATTTCTATAGGGCTATTAACCTATAGCTATAACTCGGCCTTTATTAGTACTAATATTATATAAAAGAGCTTTAAGAGTAATTTTAGTCTAGTTATTATAACTAAAGTATAATAGAATATAGTATCGAGTAATTTGACTAATATCTATATAATTATAAAGCCTTTCTCGCTTTCCTTCCTTTATAGTAATTATACGGGTACTAATATAGTAGAAAATAGACTTTATAAAGAAATTCTTTAGTACCTTCTTTATATTCTTTTCTATAAAGCTATTTGTCACGAAACCGGGTCTCTGGGCTTGGAAAGCAAGGTAGAGTGGCTCTTAATCCGAGGATTCTAAACTAAGGAAGGAAGCTCGTATATACAAGAGCTTTGGTATTCTAAATACTAGCCAGCCGCATGCGTCATCGCGATCACGTGACGCTAAATTTACCAGTGAAGCGGTAGAGCGTAACACTATTTAAGTAAAAGAAAACGGCTATTATATTAGATATAATATTTATTCTTAGAATATAAGTAATATGTCTTTATTATTTCCGAAGAATTATATACTTATTATTCTTATAATATTCTTTATATAGTTCTTATATATTAACTTAGTATAATCTATACTAGACGACTTTTAATAAGTCTCGGTATTAATAGACTTATAGTAGTCATACTAATTTATATTTCGGAGATTACTTTACTTATTATCTAAAGCTATTTAATTAGATTATATATTAAGTATTTGCCTTAGCTAGACTTTTATTAAACTAATATACCTTTAGCTTTAAGTTATCTTATTAGATTAGTAGAGTTATTAGCTTATATATAGGCTCTTTCTATTATTATACTTGTAATTACTAATATTTATAGTTAGATTAACTATAGTATAGTCTATAATATTAATAGAAATAATTCTAAGATATAGAAGATTTTAAATAAGTCTTATAATACTAAATTAGGAAAGTATATACTAATATATATAATTATAATAGCCGTCTAACTCATTCTAGCTAGTCTTCTTGCTCTAATACTTCCGCTTATTATAAAGTCTCCTATATAGCTCCTAAAGAAGAGTCGTAATAAGAACGCCTATTAAGTCTATAATTATATTTATAACCTTCTTATAAACTATTAATATATTACTAAGAATATCTCTTTTATTAAAGAGTAGATTAAAAGCAAATATATAATTAATATAAGCGGTAACTTAAGTTTTATTATATTTCTAAAAGACATATTTAAAGAATTATTTATAAAAGAAATAAAGAATTGCTTTACCCTCGTCTTTTATAAGGTATTTATTAGTAAGTAATAAAATAATAAATAAATTAGTAAGATATAAAACCACTAGTATTAAATTTAATACAAAACCAATTTTTATTTCTCTTATAAGGTCTAAAGAAGCCTCCTATAAATAGGAGGCCTAATAATATATATATAACTTGATACTTAATAAGCTTATTAATCTATAATATAATAGTAATATAAAATAATTACAGATCCCGTTATCTAATAGCCGAGGTTCTTTTAAGGTCTTTATATATAATAATATCACGTGTAATTTTATATATATTATAACTATACCCCCCTTGTAACGGCAGGAACAGAGCAATGGAACGAGGCTCAAAGATCAATGATTTCCTATGTCTTGAGAATTTAAAGCTAAGGAGGATAGGAGTGAGGTGTAGTAGTGGATAAGTAGGTATGGCCAAGACTACTGAAACGCCGAGCTTTGGAAGCGAGCTTGGTTTGAACCATAGTTTGGAACCTTAGCTGAAACCAACCCCTTTGGCTGAAACCAACCATGTAATACCAGCCGTTACACCCCTTCTAAAGATCTTATTCTTAAGATCCATTAATTTATCTTAGTAAAATATGCATTTAACCTTATTAAAGTAAACTTCTAGTATCTTGGGAGGTGGTTTTATTATATAATTCTGAATAAAGGATATAGGAGGACATCTAATTAAATAAGAGCCGAGAACTAGTAATTATAGCTTAAATACGAGGTCGATTAATAATCGCAATTTCGTATAAGGCTAAGTACTTTAATTAGTTCAAATGGAATACTAAGGCACTACCCCACGAGATTAATACTACTTATTAGATGAAGTATTAGAACTCCTCAAATAGCTTTAAAAAGAAGAGTTATTGAAATATTTATATAGATAGGATTCTTCTTTGAAGGATCCTTAGGTCTATCACCAACTAGCCCTCTAATCAAGCACACCTCCGCCCGTTCACTTAGCGTGTTTCAAGGCTTTCTCCTTTTTCCATCTGGTGCGACCATGCCAAAATCCTTCTTTATCTTGCTCTTGTACTTCGTACACCCAACCCTCCTTCACCTGCTTATAGCGGGCTTGCTTTACATTAAACACGATATCGGACAAGTCTGGTGCCTCCATGGTCGCCACCCTCAGGCAAACCCTGTCTCCATCGTCGAACTTTCGTGGGTACTATACATCAATTTCATCAACCCTATTCTTCTACAATACTGTTGAAATATTACCTTCTTTTTCTTTCCTTTTGCAACATATTCACTATGTCCGGGGTCCTGGTTCTCCTTTTTTTTTCCCTCAATCGAATTCTTGGACAACGAATTAGCGAGTGCTCTATAGCTTTCGTGGGTATACCACATACAGCACTTCCACTGGCTGTTTTTCTGCTTCTGCGGTTGCTCGTAACAGACCTGTAGGCTTTCCTAGTCCTCAGTTTCAATGGACACACTCTCAAAACACTAAACGTGAACATTGCCCAGATATCAACCGTATAAGAAATCCAAAACAAAACTGTGCTAACCACCATCCCATACGTCAAGAGCCAAGGACTTGTCAACGACCAGCCCATCCCCAAAATACTAGAACAATATGTAATAAAGCAGGTTTCAACGAAATGAGCAAGCAGCATCACACTAACACCATCCAATACATCATAGATGTTCTTTCCGATTCCTCGACGCTTAAGGTTAATAAGGAAGCAGATGACGAAGAATACGGCAGTTGCAAAGAGTATACCGAATGTGGCAAACGAACGACGAAACCCGTTTACGAGCAAGAGAAGATCGTACCCGAGTTCGATTCCGATCATGGCCATGGCGATATTTCTCGCGTGAGAGTACACATCGTCATTAGAGGACATCCGTTTATTCTTGTCTTGTTGTATGAAGATGAGAGCACAACAAGTGGAGTCAGATAATAAGCTGATGATTCTCCACCACGCACCGTGGCAATTGTTGCACCAGAACGGCCAAAGGATTAAGTGATGTACTAATAGAATAAGAATAAAAAGGGCGTAATAGTCGTTGTCCTTGTGGGATCGGAAACGCCGCACGGTTGATAGGAGCAAGAGAACGCTGTCGAAAGTCCATGGATGAAAGCAGAAAGAGGCAAATTTGCGGATGTTGTTGTTATTGAAAAACAATGAGAGACCTCTTGACCATGGTAAGAGAGCCTTGGATAGGGCTTTCGCACAATGAGCAAACTCGGTCGTCTGATGCCTTTCCCGCTGAGAAGCTGAAGCAATCAATACCTGTAGGATACGAGCACTATCCCATATAGAAAGAAGCAGCTGACAAGCACTTTGTATAATCTCCCTGGAGAGACCAACATGCTCAGCAGCAATGGTAGCCCTATTCCAGGCTTGGCGAACGGCCTGGAGCACCACTGTAACGGCATTTGTACTTTCGAGTGAGTGGACTCCAGCCAACAACGTGACATTCCCACGAAGCAATAGCCATCGACATACCATCCTCGAAACTCGCACCACCTTAAGCGTCACCTCGTATACCTTTCCCCTCGCCCAAGTCACATCGAAGTCACGCTTTCCCATTCGACTGAAGTAGGAAGATGGTGCATAAGGCGGAGGCTCCAATGCCTTCCGCAGCGCATTCTCGCAAGCTGTCGAGAAAGGACCCCCAGAAGCTTGAACGCTACGACAATCGTCTCGGAAGTCCTTGAGCTCCGTCCAACGTGCCATGTTGTAGCTCTGAACTGCCCATTGTATGCCCAATATCGTGAGGATCAAGCCCACAAGACCGATGAATATTTGTATCGCTCCTGACGATGGCAGCAGCTTGTTGACGATCCGCCATGCCGTCTTCTGAGACTGCTTCGAAGAGGGTTTCGCAAGGGAATTGGTGGCTGATGTGGTGGATGTTGTCGAAGCCGAATTCGGTCTCGGCGGATTGGCAGCCGGTGTTGTCGTCGTCGTCGTAGCGGTCGAGGACGAGGAGTTCGCAGCGAGTGATGCCATTATGTTGCTCAATGTGGCAACTGGTGATTAGGATTCGAGAGTTGAAAAATGGAAAAAATTCCCTTGGACAAGTGCCTAGCGCAGGCATCATCGTAATCAACGCCCTGGAGTCGGATAATCGGTGAGGCCGAGTTGCTGCAGCCTCCTGATACATCGGGAAACCCGCAGTCATTGTTTTTCACGAATAAGTTGTTTCAGCTGCCTTGGTCATTCCTATTTGCTAAAGCTTGGAAATCCATGAAATATTAATCATGTAAGTTAAAAATTGGTGGAAAGAAGGTTTCATGAAAATATAAAGTGGCAATTCAGAGCTTGAAGTGCTCTCGAATAGCGAGTACTCACTACAAACTACAGTGAATATAGACCCTGCCGGCCCCTGGCCCCCGTCCCTTAAGTTCCTGTCCGGTGCTAGCTAATTTTTAACTGTATTCTCTTCTTATGACTTTACAGTAAGTTCAAATAAGTTCATAATTGTTCCTCAAAATTCGCCTTAGTATTTACATGAAAATGAATTCTGGATTGTTAGATGAAATGAATTATAAACGCCTTGCGAGGTTGACTATGGACCACTTCAGGTTTATATGGTACCCTCTTCACCAGGCAAACAAGGCGTCTTGGAGTCTTGACTGGTGAGTCATCATCCAATAGGCTGAAGGCGTTTGGGATGCTGCCGACCTTCAAAATGCCAGCTCTCGGAGCACGGATTTACTTCCGCCCAATCAAGTTAACCCGGAAGAAGCCACATCAAATATTGGTGAGCCCGCGGAATGATCAACTTTACTTCCTGAGAAGAGGGGCAGGGGCAGTGCAGGGGCAGTGCAGGGGCAGTGCCGGGGCAGTGCTGGGAGTGCAAGCAGCTCGCCAATCACCCCTCAATGACTTGCAAAATCTCGATGCTTTTACCGTGCTTAGTGAGCCAATCATCTTTGCAGGTGCCTGAATCGGCCTTTGGCTTCACTTAGTAGAAATGTCGCCCGATCGACTGCATACTGGTCAATTTCTGGGAATACTTCCATTGCTGCATTTTGCCTAGAGGGTTTTGTATCTCATTGAAAGCCGTTATAAGAGAGATCCGGGTGCTTCTCGTTTTTCGCAGGCATCGATTTATTCCGATGATTGAGATTCGGCGTACATGTAACTTGAGTGGGACCCTGGGGGCCCAAGCTGCTGATATCGATCTTGAGAAAGCCAATGGGATATCGGGCGAGCGACCATATTCATCAAGCTCAGAGTCGACATGGGAAAGCCAAAATGATATCTGGAGTTTCCCAAATTCCCCAACTGGGGAACGGATTGTAGTCGACGAAGATTCTGATGAAGAAAGCGGTAAGCTCCAAGGACTGGGTCGATTAGACCCTCACAATTGATGTGAATAACAGTGCAAGTCCAAGAACCAACAAGCCACACAAACCGATTCTTGAGGGCGATTACCCCAAGGTATTTCACCAAGCCATCATTCCGGCCTTTCCGATCCATTGCCCGGAAGCGTGAGTTGGTCCCGTCCCATAACCAGACTGGTACTGACAGAGACTAGTGGAGCGTTGCGGAGATGGCTATCCGTACTTGGCGACATTCTTAGACAGCGATGAGAACTTCATGATCTATCGAAGATTTGGCTTTCTCCATGCTCGGCTTCTTCTTCAGAAACAGGACGAGCTTCGCATAATGGAAGAAGAGTTAGACCAAATGGACCAACGAGACAAGGTACACAACACGAAAGCATTGCAATGTAGGATGGAAGATGTTGAACGCCAAGACAGGGTGGTAGGGGAAACGAGACAAGCCCTACTTTCTCGTATAGAGAACACCATTTTGATATATGATGAACTTCTCCTTAAGGCCCAACAACTTGCAGCTTCCAATCGTCCCCCGGAGCGCGATTACAATAGCGTGGCTAATTTTGTCCATGACAAAAAGCCGTTGATGCAAGGGGATGATGACTTTATTTATCATAAAGGAGACTTAATTACCCTCCGACCTCGCAGAGGGAGAGCTTGGCTTGATGCAGCTGTGGAGAAAATCCTGAAATTATTTCCCCGTACTGCGGTCAAATATGTGTTCTGCTCAAAGGTACGATCCTTCACGGTTATGGGAAGTCGTTGATTGACTCTCAAAAGGAAACTTCTGCCAAAACCACAGATGTATCTACCTTTCTTGACATCAAACCACGCGTGAATCGAATCGTGAGCTTTGCTGTCATGATCATGGTGCTTACGCTCTTGGTTGTGACAATGAGTACAGATATACTTCAATATTCAAAAATCCCAGATACCAATGACTATGAAGAAGACTACTCATCTGCGGCACTCAAGCTTTGGGTAATCGTCACGCTGCCTTTCACGGCCCTGACGTTTCTAGCGTGGTGGGTTCTGTACTGGTGGGCATACAGGAAACAGCATGTGAAAGCTATGATAGAAAAGCGGGAAAGGATGAACAAAGGAGGATTAGTCAACATCGTTTGAATGCCAATTGGAGCGTGCCCTCATTATGGCAGTAGTTATTTTCCGTTAGATCGTATACACTATCATCAATGAAGGCATGCTCCAATTGGCCTTCACAGAAAGGTTGGAGGACGCTATCCACAAGCACCGTTGAAGCCAAAGAAGAGCAAGGTTCCATGGACAGAAGAAGAGGGTATAAAGCTGCTCCAGATGTGGAACGAAGGCCGTTCGTGGGAATATATCTTTGCTGCCCTCCCTAGCCGGAGTGAAGGGACTATCCGGGTGCGCTGTTCGACAAAATTTAAAAAGCGACTTCGTACAGGGCCCGGTCGTTCTTGAACTGGAGGAGGGACCACTTGCTTCATTGACGTTGGGCCTCCTGTTCGGAGAAGAGTGGTGTTGGGATATCAGGTTAGAGGTCACGTGAATAAATAGCGTATAATCAGTTTCAACGGTGCTGAATTGACTTCTGTTCTACAGTGATAGGTAGCCTGTATTTATAGGTGCTGTAAGCCCTGTAGGCTACTACATTACAGCTTATATCGTAGGCTCCAGTATAGGCTCCAGTGACTGCCTATAGGCTATAGTATATGAAGCCCTATAACCTTACGTCCTCAAGCACCTATAAATCGCAAAAGGAGAGCGAGAAAGGGGGATGTCACGTGATAAATGTCGATCGTCTCTAGTCAAGGCAGATATATGACCTCCGAAAGCCCACTAGCGCAATAAAAATGGTTCGATTACTCACGGCTTTCCCGAGTATGAAAGTAATAACGCCTTCCCTATACTAAATATCTAAGGCGCTAGTTAGCCGGATTTAAGAGTTAGTATTAGTATGACCGGTTTCCCGGAGGTCATGTGATTTACGTCACATGACCGGGTTTCCTACATAAAGGCAACGGGACATGTAGGCAACGGGACATGCCAGACACTAGCACTAATTAGGTATAGCGTATTTAGGGATCGCATATTAGAACCTCGATACTATAATCTCTATTTATAGAATATAACTACTTTACTAACCTATATAATTAGTATTTTATAATTATATAATAGTATTATATATTACTAGTAAACTAATATTAATTAGTTTATATATATAAATTAGAGAAAGGTTTTATTATTAGTAAAGTATTTAATAGCCTAAGATAATAATATTTACTTCTAATTAAAAAGAAGAACTAATATTAATTCTAGTAAAGTATTTAATAGCCTAAAAAGAAGAAATTAGCTCTTATTAATTAGAAAGTAGTTAGTTCTTTAATTATTTAACTAAACTATTTAGTTCTATTATTTTTTAAAACTAATTTTATTTAGTATTAAAACTATTTTCTTAATAACTAACTTTCTATTTATATACTATTATAGCCTCTTTTCTAAAACTATATAATTCTAAATCCCTATAAACCTGTTCTTATTTCGATTTTACTATTAAGTTAAGCCCTTTTAAGCTTTAGAATACTTTTAGAAAACTCGATATTTTATTTCCTAAATTATTTATTATAAACGAAATTTTTATAACTAAGATATTTATAAACTACTAATATTTTTCTATAAACCTATTATAAACTACCTTATTTTTAAACTATTTCCTTATTAAAACTATATATATATATTCTAAAGAATTAATATAAATAATAATAAATAAAAGAAAAAGATTAAAAAATAAAAGAATAGAATTAATTTAGTAATTATAATAAAAAAGAATTTTTAGAAATATCTAAATACTAAGCTATATTAGTACTTTATAAATAAAACTACTAATAATAATTTATATAACTTATTTAAGAATAACTTTAAAAACTTTAACTTTTTAGCCTTTAATTAATTTAATTAACCCGAATTATAGTATTTTTAATTCTATTTTTAATATAGTAATATATTTATTAACTAGAATATAAATATAATAGGTACACGTAATAGCGCATAAATAGGTATTAGATATCGTAAATCTAGTTTCCTATTTTGGGTATAGCTTGTAATCGGAATTATATGAATTATATAAGATTTCCTAATTAAGTAAAGGGCTTCGTATACCTGGCTAAGTACTAGGGAATATATAGGGAGATACTCCTAGCTTTAGAAAGGGCATTAATTAGTCTCTTATTAAAATTAATTCTTGGAATTAGTTATACTTGCAAGTATTATTCCGTAGCTTACTTACCTTAACTACTTGTATATTACCCTACTATTACGTGTCTTATATTCTAATTAATCTAATTTTCGGGAAGTAGTTTATTATAAAATAGTCAAGCTATTAATAAATAAAACTACTAATAGCTAGAGTATTAATTAGAAGAAGCGCCTCTGCTATTACTAGGGTAATCTAGTCGGGTATTTAGGGGAGCGCCTAGTTAGTTACTCTAGCTATTGCCTAATTAGGAGAAGGAAGTAGAACTCAGATATCCCTAGAACTAGCTAGTAGGATAATAATAACGGAGAAGCTAGCGGCGGCTTGTTATTATATTACTAAGTTAGAAGCAGAGATATAATAAAAGAAGAATCTAGAGAATCTAAAAGCTCAGATTCGCTATCTTGAGAAGATTCGGGTACCTATTATAGAACCTATTATATTACCGGTGGCATATTTAGTTTATAAGGCTTTAAAAACCCGAGAATTACTAACTTATAAGGAAAAGAATATTAAGGAAGCCCAGGACTTCTTTTATTAGGCAGAGCTAAAATAGTATAAAGACAGCGGGATTACCTGGATTATAAATATAGTAAAGATTATGTATTATATTTCTTGTTTTAAGAATATAGCTAGAAATATCTAGAAATATAGGAAATAATTAGTAGGTATTAATATTATAGATTAGGAGATCTTTATTAAGTTTATAAAGGATTTTATCTTAGATCCGGAGAATTATAGTAATAATACTTTTGCTAAGTTTAAGGATATAAAATAGCGGCCAGGTTAGAGTATCTAAAGCTTTATATCCTACTTAGATAGCCTATTAGATAACTTGGAATATACGGGTTTACTATAAGAGCGGAATAACTTATTTAATAGCTTAAGGTAAGAAATTCGGGATAAGATTAATTACTAAGGAAATGCTTTATGAGAAAGGAAAAAGCTTATTTCTATAGCTATAAGAATCGAGAATAACTTAAACTAGTTTACTTAATAGAAATATAATAATAAGCTAATGGATTAATAAAAGAAAGGAAATTAGAGAAAGAAAAAAAATAATAATAAAGGGAAATAAAAAAGAAGTATATTTCTATTATGAGATTTATATAACTAGGGTAATAAAAGTATAATAACGGGATCTAATATAGTACCCATATTAAAATCTATAAGACTAGATATAACTTGCTTTACTTACTAGAAAAAGAATTATTATATTATTACTTGCCTAAATTAGGGAAAACCGACTTACTATAATTATAATAAGTCTAGTTATAAAATATATAAGTATCTAGAACTAAAGAAGCCGGGAAATAAGTATACCTTATAATAATTATGCTCGTTTATATTATAGAGAATAAGGCCCCTAAAACGAGAATAGTAATTAAAGTTACTATTAAGATAAGGAAAAATAAGTAAAGAATTAAAGTATTAGTTAACTCGAGTATAGAGGCTAATTATATAGAGAAGAGATTAGCCTTAGATATAAGTATTCTATTAATATTAAGGATAACTTTCTTATTCTTACTAGAGGAAAAAAGAATTTATTTATATAAAGATTATATTCTTGGGATTATTACTAAGGATATACTAGGAAATAAAAGAGAAACTAATATATATTTTATATTATATAATTTTAATCTAAACTATATTAATATAATACTTGAATTCCTATAGCTTTACTAAATTAATTCCCTAATTTCCTTTAGGGAAGTAATATAAAGATACTAGATTTAATTATAAAAAATTAAAGTTCTAAATACTAGGAAGTTTATTAAAGTAATAAAGTATAAAATATATGTTTTTCTATTAATTACCTATCCTATAATAAATAGCTAAAGAATTACTATTATTACTATAAACGGGATAGCTATATTTCCTAGAAAATATTAGGATCTTCTCTAAGTATTTTCTATAAAGGCTATAGGTATATTACCCGACTATTATATAATAGAATATTATATAGATCTAGAACTAGAATCCTAATTACTATATAGTCTTATATATACTTTATTAGAAAAAAAGCTTAAAGTTCTTCGGGAATATCTTAATACTAGCTTAAAAAAGAAATAAATCTATTATTTTACTAGCTTAGTTAGTACCCTAATTATATTTATTCTAAAGAAAAAAGGCGGCCTATATTTATATATTAATTACCGGGATCTAAATAGAATTATTATTAAGAACTAAATATTATTATTACTTATTAGTAAGATAATAAATAGGCTTAGTAAAGCAAAAATATATATAAAGCTAGACTTAAAGAATACTTACTATTAATTATAAATATAGGAAAGTAATAAGTAAAAAATAGTATTTTAAATATATTATAAATATTTTAAATATTATATTATATTCTTTAAACTATCTAATACTTTAGTAATATTCTAGGCATATATTAATTATATACTAGTAAGCCTTATAAATATTATTTATGTAATTTATCTAGATAATATTTTAATTTATTTAAAGAACCTAGAATAGTATATAATAGTAATCTAATATATACTCGAGTAATTATAATAATACTAGCTCTTTATAAACTTAGTAAAATACGAGTTTAATATAAAGAAAATAAAGTTCCTGAAATTTATAATTAGCCTAGATAATATAGAAATAGAGGCTAGCCGGGTTATAGCTATTAGGAAATAACTAGCCCTAAAAAATAATATTCGAGAAATTTAAGTATTTCTGGGTTTTACTAACTTTTACTAGAGATTTATTTATAAATACTTTAGAGTAATAAAAAAGTTAATTAATTTACTAAAAACTAGTAGAAAACTATTATATTAGTTTAGCTAGATAAATAAAATAAATAAGGCTTTTAGGAAATTATAAATTATATTTATAATAGTACTAATTTTTTATTATTTTAATTTAGTTTTAAAGATTTATATAGAAATAAATACTTTAGGATTTGTAATTATAGGTATAATTTCCTAGCTCTTTAATAAAAAGATAAAAGCCAGGTAATATCCTATTACTTTCTATTTAAAAAAAATAATTATAATTAAGAATAAGTATAAAACATATAACTTTAAACTCTTAGCTATTATTCTAGTATTTTATACTTAGTAATATTACCTAGTATATACCTAATATATTATTATTATTAAGATAGATTATAATAACTTGAAATACTTTATAACTAAGAGAAAACTAAATAATTAATAGATAAGATAAGTAAAGAAGCTAATTATTTTTGACTTTATCTTAAAATATTAGCTAGGGTATAATAATTCCGCTAATAAGCTATTAAGGAAGCCAGACTTTATAGCGGGTATAAATAAAAATACTTTATTATTTATACTTTATAATAAGCTATAGAATATAGAATAGAGAACCCTATAAATAATAGTAA